CATCTGCTCAATGGGTGCCATTTGTATCATACTGTCAAAGGACTCAAGACAGATCCTTACTGATCTTTTGTTGAGCTCCAGTATCTTACCAAAACTCTTTTTCCTTACCTTAAGCCTGCTTAGAGTTGCTCCTTAGGCACCTCTTAACAGTATTACAGCCTTTCTACTTCCCCATCATTTGGGTCCCAGTGAGGAAAGATTCTTCTGGTTCTGAGGTTTCTAAATATTCCTGGTGGAGACAATGGCCTTCACTGGCCTTTCTTAAAATCACTTTCCTTTTATTCAACATTTAATAGTGTTTGTAACATGGATTTTATGTCTTCTCAGGGAAGCCAATGGGCAGTGGGCAGTTTCCCCCGCTGCCTGGGTGTTGGCACTGGCCCCAGAAAATACATCTTGAGGGTCAGTCTACACAGGTGGCAGAAGCAGCCCCTGCCACTGCCCAGCACACTGCTTTCTGGCAGCACCCAGGCCAACCACTATAGCATATTACCATTGCCAACTAGGGCTCAGGCTGCTGGCCTCTGTAGCAATGACAGCAGTAGTAGATCTCTCCTGCAACACTGCCCCAGGGTATGCAATTGTAAAACTCAAACTCTTCTGTAAGGAAGAGCATTGGGCCTCATTGGGGCAGCATTATGACTCCCTGGAGCTGCAGGAAGTAGAGGCAAACATGGTGGGCTCCCAACAGAACCCACCAGACAGCAGCTAGGTTCTATGTCCTAGTGCTTCTACAGGCTTCCACCCTCTTCTTGGGCCTGTGAGATGCTGCTGATGCCATCTGGGGTGAGGTAGGTTGCCACTTGTGTCCTTGGAAATTTTGTTTCCTCAATATCCTTTTTGTTAAATAATCCCAATTGTTGTTCTCTGAGCTTGAGTGGTTGTCACTGCACCTCCTGCGGAATCTGCGTGAGCATTCACGTGGACTTTGGCTCAAAGTTCAAGGAACAGTGCATGCAGAGGTACAATGTGGCACTTGCCAATGTTTTGGAGCTTGGCTTCCTGTTTGCTAGATTCTGTTCTTAGTAATACTGTTTACTGTACTTTGCTCATGTGCTTTCAACCTGTTATTCATTCAACTCCTAGTAATCATGATATTGTTTATTTCTATAATGATGAGCTTACCACTGCCAGTAACGAAGTCAATAATTTTGGGCCAGAGGCTTTGGCATCCACGCAGAAGAAGTAAGGGAATGATTAAGCTTCCAGAATCAACAGATGAGCCTATCCCATATACAGGAATTTACTATAAGGGAGAAAGAATAGTTAATGTAAAAAGAAAAGAGTTAGGTGGTTGAGTCTAAGCTTTTGGGAAAGATTAAAAAGGTCACCTCCTCCTTGGTGCACGTTAAGCAAAGCACAACAAGAGTCTATTTTAGAACAATACCGTAAGTCTCTTCCATATTTGCCTAATCATAAAGTTACTGAATGGCAACGATATAGAGACTATGTAGCAGAAAGATATAAAAGACTCTTTGAACAAGGCAACAACTGGGAGTGGAACTAAAAGGTTAGTTAGGCAAGATGTATCAGACGAATGAATAACTACATTCTCTTATGTCTCACACCATTAACCATTGATTGTCAGATTGTCATCCCCTTTTCCATCCGCTTCTAAGAAAATGTAACACATCACCTTCTTTTTCAAGATGTATTGTGCTGCTAAGTATGTAACCAAACGCTGATGTAATCATTATTCTTGCCAAAAAATACTGTATAAATACGAAAGCTTACTTCTTCACATTACATTCAGATATGCACTCCTGAAGTCGTGTCTGTCTGTCATTTATTGCGCTGAATCCTTATCCACCTCCTTCTGAGACACTCATCACCCTGAGGTCCAGTGCTCCCGACTGTGCTGGTCCATGGCAAGTGGTCTTGTAAGTGACCATATGAAAGTGATCTGTCTCCTACCTTGGCACTCTCCTTTGACCCTGTATAACAGTGTTTCAACTGACCAGAGACCAAGGTCCAAACTGAAGCTGTAAGTGCCAAGCTGGAGATTTCTCCACAGATACCCTCTTTACAGTATGTTCAATGCTAAAAGTCTAGCAGCTCCAATTGCCTGAAAGTGCAACTGGTTTGAACTATCAATGTCTAACTGGCTAAGAGCCCCACAGTCTAAACTGCTAAAAGCCTCAGTCTTGCCCCTACTTACCATCAGCCCTAAGGCAGGGTGGAATTTGAAGAGCTCTACCTTCTAGAGAGTTCACACCAGGGGGTGAAGTCTAGAAAGCCCCACTTTCAACCCGAGGTAGATTATGTGCACCACCCAATGGTTTAGAGGTTGTTTCTTGCTGTTCTCTTACTGTAATATGTTCTCTTCCAGCCTCTCCTAGTGACACTGCACCTTCCTCTCAGTTATTTCCTAGAGTAGTCTGAGGAAAAAATCCTATTGCTTGTTAGAGATGTCTGTAATCTGGGAAACAGCTAAACTGGAAGATTTAGAGACTTTATGTTAGCAAAAAGAAAACAACCAATTTTGCTGTTAGAAGTTCATGTAGGGGACTCACACATGTAGGCCACCCCGTTTCCCCCCCTCCTTTTTTTTAAAAAAAAAAGATTTATTTATGGGCCCTCCCTGGTGGCGCAGTGGGTTAAAGCACAGCACTAAGAAGCTAAAGCCACTTCCACATGAGTTCATTCCCGCCTGCCCTGGAGGTGACCACATGGCGTGGCAGACCTCTCCTGACCCGCCCGCTGCTCCCCTCAGCAGTGTACTTCGTCGATCTGCCTGTTCTGTTCCCCACTCTGTCTCTGGTGAAGCCTCTCGCCACTCCTAAGTCTGTACCCCAGTTCTGTATGCACTAATAAATAAATCTTAAAAAAAAAGATTTATTTATGCATACAGAACTGGGGTACAGGCCAGAGGTGCATGGTGGTGAGAGACAGAGTGGGGAGCAGAACAGGCTGACTGACGAAGTACACTGCTGAGAGGAGCAGGGGGTGGGTCAGAAGAGGCCTGCTGCGCCATGTGGATCACCTCTGGGGTGGGGATCAAACTCATGCTGAAGTGGTTTTAGTTTAACCTGCTACGCCACCAGGGAGAGTTCCTGTTTCCCTTTTATTATGTTTTGAGATTTTTGGGGAAGAACCAAAAAAAAAAAAAAGCTGTATAGTCTGGTCTTCATATCGATACAAGCATGCTTTAGGATAGAAAGAAACCTTTCTAAGTCTCAGATGGGCTCTCCTGAATCCACAAACTTGCCTTCTCTAAATAGGTTCTTCCATCTGCTGCATTAAGACAAAATACATATAAGACTGTAACAGGGTGGTCCCTAGGAAAATGTGAAGATCCAGGTTCTCTGCCCTACCAAGAAGGAGGGTGGAGCTGAGCGGAGAAGGAGAGAAGGAAAAGAAGGAAGCTGGATGGAGAACAAGAAGGAGACCTGAGGGAGCCACATGGAGCAGCAAGCACTCCATGAAGAAACCGTGCTTGTTTCCTGACCCTGGACTGGTTAAGGCAGATGTGGGTGAGATACCTGTAGGGAGGTGACTATGGCAGTGTTCACATTGATTTTGATTTTGCTTTTCCTCCCAGATTTTCTGACCCTTTTCTATGGGTCCCAGCCAGAAGGTGCTTTAGTCTAGTGGTGGGCTTTCAGGCCTTGCTTTGAGCCAATCCCTTTTGGGTTGACTTTTGCCCACGAGGGGATGGGTAACTTCAGGTGTTTGATTTAGAAGCTATATTCTTTGTGTTCTGTATTGTATATTTACTGTATTAAAGTCCCTTTTCATTAAAGTTTTATATGTTTTGTCTTGATGCGGTGGGTGGCAGAACCCACTTAGAGCAGGCAGGTTTGGGGCTTCAGGGGTGTCCCTCTCTCCCTGTCCTGTAACAGATTTGGTGTCCTGTAACAAGACCTTTAATGGAAAGGAACTTTAATGTAATTAGTGTGCAATACAGAATAGACAAAGAATATAGTTTCTAAATCAAACACCCCAAATCATCCATCCCCTCATGGATAAAAGTCTACCCAAAAGAGATTGCCACAAAGCAAGGCCTGAAAGCCCGCCACAGGCTAAAACACCTTCTGGCAGGGACCCATAGAAAAGGGTCAGAAATGGCCAGACAAGTTTGGAGGCAAAAGCAAAGTCTAAATCAAAATAAATGCTGCCATAGCGAACCTCCCCACGGGTCTCTTACCCACATCTGTTTCAATCAGTCCAGCACCAAGAAACAAGAGCTGCTTCTTCACTTGTCTCTCTGCTCCATGTGCCTCCCTCAAGTCACCTTTTGGCTCTCCATCCTGCTTCCTTCCTCCTCAGTCTCCTCTCCAAACTCTTCTCTTCTCTGCTGAGCTCCACCTTCCTTCTGGGTAGGAGAAGGGAACATGGAACCTCTCCGTTTCCTGATACATTCACAGATAACATCTAACTCTGCAGACTAAGAGAGCATTTGAAATTATATATAACAGTCCTTTTTTTTTTTTTAATAAGAACGTCACCAGATGTCTCTTTACCTTGGCTATAGAACTATTTATATGTCTCCTATGGATAGCCTACCTGCACAAACCTTATTAATGAGACCAAGACATTTGAAGGATGGGACCAACACTCAGAGAAATCTCTTTAATAAACTTCTCTTTGAATCGCTTCACAGTGAGCGGTATTTCAGTGGACAGGCCAAATCTGCCACCCAGTGCTTGGTTCACACAGATACTTACTTGATATTTACACAAGACACTGGTACTATCTCAGAGAGGTATTCTGAGGCCACTCATTCAGAACAGTATCTGTCACTCTTGGCTGTTTCACTTTGCCTTAAGCAATTAACTGCTCATATATCTACTAGAATTTAATTTCCAGAATTCAAAGTCCTAGCCCAGTGGCTAAGACAGTGACCACACCACCATCACTGGTGTTCGTTCACTATTTCACGGAAGGACGAGCGGGACCTCTACTGGTGAACACCACTCCACCTCAGCCCTCCGTTTGACCCGCCCCATCCGGGACCCAGAGGTGGGACTTCCGGGAGTGGCCATACCGGAATTCCGGCGCATACAGGAAGTTTAATGGGGCTAGCGGCCTCTGCTCCAGAGCTGTAGTGGTGACGATGGGTAAAAGAGACCGAGCGGACCGCGGTGAGCCTCTGGCGTGCTGGGCGCCACTCTTTCGTCCTGGTCCGCGCCTGATTTCCGTCCGCTCAGCGGCAGCTGCTCCCTGAGCCCCTCGCCACGCGTGCCCTGGTCTGCCCGACCTGCTGGGCGGGGAACCTTAACGTGGGGGTCGCTCCGCGTGGTTAGGCGTTTCTGGGGCGCGCCCCGCTGAATGCCTCCCGCCGAGCTGCCGGGCGGGGCGGAGGGCACCGAGGCTCCTGACGTGCTCACTTACGTGTCGGTGTTTGCAGATAAGAAGAAGTCCAAGAAACGGCATTACGAGGATGAGGAAGAAGATGAGGACGACGCTCCTGGGAACGAGTCGCAGGAAGCCGTTCCTTCGGCTGCCGGGAAGCAGGTGGATGAGTCAGGCACCAAAGTGGATGAATATGGAGCTAAGGACTACCGGCTGCAGATGCCCCTAAAGGACGACCACGCCTCCAGACCCCTCTGGGTGGTAAGCACATCCGGTAGCTAAGTGAGACCCCAAGCATTTACGGAGCTGAAATAAGTGATGCATGACACTCACTGCCTCAGGGCTGTCTGGGGAGATAGTTTCCAGAAACAGAGAAGCTTGAGAGAGGAGCTAGCTAGCAGGGAAGTTGCAGTTGTGCCGGCTTTTTTGGCCTTCCATCGTCTCTAACCGTCACTTTTACTGCCATTTTACAAGACAAGTGGCATTTGTCTTGGAAGTTTAACTCCCCACTTAATGACATGCTAGGCAGTTTTTTTTTTTTGCTCAGCTCAAGGTAATCAGTGTGCTATCTTATTTTGAAATCTAGACAGGTAGCTGGGGGAGAGACAGTAAGCTGATGAAGAATCGTGGAAAGCATCAATTTACTTTGGAAACCTGTTCTTTCTCTTTATTACTGTATCTAATTAAAATAACAGGCTTTCGAGTTTGTTGAAAGAGTGCCTACAAGACTATCTCTGGTGTTGATAGCTTAAAGATCGCTTTTGGGGCAACTTGTATTTCTCTCTCTCTCTTTTTTTTTGGTTTTACATTTTTTCATAGAAGAACTGGGGTGTAGGCCAAAGGACCTGGATGTGAGAGGATTTACTGGAGACAGAGTGGGAGCAGAACAGGTAGATCTCCTGAAATACACTGCTGAGGGGAGTAGCAGGTGAGACAGGAGAGATTTGCTGCTTCATATGGGTCAGCTCCCTTGCTAGGGATTGAACTGAGGCTGTAGTGGTGATAGCACAGAGACTTAACCCCTAGACCACTAGGGAGGCCCAACTTGTCCTTTCTTAAGAGTGATATGAAAAACAGCCTAATTGTTTCTGCAACTCAGTTTCCTTGTCTATATTGTGTCTGCTTAATGTTTTGCAGGCTCCTGATGGCCACATTTTCTTAGAAGCCTTCTCTCCAGTTTATAAATATGCTCAAGACTTTCTGGTGGCTATTGCTGAGCCTGTATGCCGACCAACCCATGTGCATGAGTACAAACTAACTGCCTACTCTCTGTATGCAGCTGTGAGCGTTGGGTTACAAACTAGTGACATCACTGAGTATCTCAGGAAGCTCAGCAAAACAGGAGTTCCTGATGGAATTATTCAGTTTATTAAGGTACGAGGGGTTATACCCATTGCTTTTACCCTCTTTGTTAATGCAGCAATAGAGAGGAATAGGTGTTACTTTTTGTTAACCTGTGACAGTCCTAAAAGTGCCATTTGGATCTAGTGTGGAGAGCCTAACTGATTACCCTAGCTGCAGCTTCTCTGTATCCAGCATTGTGTTCTTGCTGAGCACATACTTCTGTAAGCTTCTCTTTGCCAGTGTTGCTAGCACAGTGTGTGTGTGTGGGGGGTGGGGGGGTGGGGTGGGGGTGGGGCTCCTCACTCAGGTCAGGGTTATTTGGGAATGTAGCCCAAAGGGAGTGGTGCTATGAACTGAATTGAATGCCTTTAAAAATTCATATGTGAAAGCCCTTGCCCCTTTTGTGATTGTATTTGGCAAAAGGAAGTTATTAAGGCTGTTAAGAGTGGGGCCCTGATCATGTGGGATTGGTTTTCTTATAAGAGATACCAGAAAGTTTGTGCAGTCATGGTTTCTTTGAACACGAACGAGGAAGAGGTCTTGTGAAGATACACAAGAAGGTGGCTTTATGGACTTCTAAAATAAGTTTCTAGTGAACTATGAAGTTTCTAATTTTTTATGGCTGCTTCATCAGACTAAATAAACTGAGACTACTTGCTTGAGACCATTACTTAACAATTTCCATTAGGAGAAGTCAAGAAGAACTTCAAGTGTTGAGTGGATGGGGGTATCAGTGGAAGAGCAGCTGGATATGCTTATGTTTATTCTGAGCTAGGTGAATGCCATTCCAAAGAGGTGGCAATGGTTTTTCATGGCCTCAGTGATCTAAAGGGAGTTCGATTCATACCTCCAAATTTGGAGTGGCAGAAGATGAATGCCACAGGCATCAATCTATTACAGCCATGCATCCAGTCTCAGAGAATCTGGTAAGAGCCCTGAAGAGAGTTTTCTTTTTTTGTGATATGGAATGTAGCCTGCAGAAAATAGCCTGGGCCTCACTAGAATGAACCTGTATCACACCTACAGCTCATTCTTGTTTGGGAGCTGCTTACAGGGATGTAGATAGTACAGTAATGATTCCAGAAGGACAGTACTGGGAGCAGACAACAACCCAAGAGTTGAATAGCAGATATTTGTGGTCACCATACAACCTCTGTTGCCTTCTATTCTAAAGAATCTTGGGAGTTTGGGAGGATTTAAACTGTACTTCTCCTGGCAGTGGAGCTAGGGCTTGGAGCCCTGCTTATGTGACTTAAAAGTAGGGCTTTTCCCACAATCCTCATGTGTTATAGCATGGCCAGTAGCTCAGAATCAGTTTTTGCAAATCAAGAAGCAAGCTTATGTCAAGGAGGAGTAGGGCGCTTTAGTTAAGATGCCAGGAAATATCTGCATTTTGTTAGGAAGCAAACAGTTACTGAAAACTACCAACTTTGTGCTGGGATCTGTAGTAACATGATGTGGCAGGATGAACCTCTAGTTTAGGATGGGGCCTGTGGGAATGGTAAAGAAAGGGAAAGGAAAAATAAAGTTTTTAGGCAGCATTTTAAAAATTAAACTCATCAGAATTAACCAAGCAGGAGAAAGGTTTTGCTCTCAAAGGATAGAAGCTAATAGAGACAAATCAATTTAGGCAGATCTAATCCTGGGTTTTTCTCAAGTAAAATGAACACTTGACTGCGTGCGTGAGTAGTAAGATGTCCCTTCTAACGAGTGTGTCCTGACTGAGCTGCATATTGCTGATTTTGCCTCTTTGGTGTTGTCACTTCCTGCAGTTGTGTACTGTCAGCTATGGAAAAGTCAAGCTGGTCCTGAAACATAACAGGTAAGGGATTTTGTGGCAGGTCCATCCAAGGCACATTCCCTCTTTGCATACCAAGTATCAAGGACCTAACTACAATGCCTACTGAAGGAATAAAGGAATAAGCAAAGGGAAGTGACTAAAACTGGAATTTCCTTCACTGGCCAAAGTATTCCCCTGGCCAGTATTCATCCCTGCTGATGTGACTTAAAAGTGGGCCTTTTCCCATATCCTCATGTGTTATGTCATGGCCAAGAGCTCAGCACTCAGGTTTTGCACAGGGAGAGATTGAAGATAGGCATAAATCCACTATTTCCAGACCATCTAATTGAATGAGTGATGAAACCTTCTGGGAACCGTGTATTGGTCTGGAGTATCTCCTTCCTACCCCACTTGTAGGTATTTCGTTGAAAGCTCCCATCCTGATGTAATCCAGCATCTTCTCCAGGATTCTGTGATCCGGGAGTGCCGCTTGAGGAACTCTGAAGGGGAGGCTACTGAACTTATCACAGAGACTTTCACGAGCAAATCTGCTGTATGTGGGCTCTTGGTCATGGGGAGGGGACTTTTTGGGAATGGGGGTGGTATGGCGAATTTAGACTTCCAGTTCTCTCCGATGCTGTTAGTCAAGCGTTTGTAACCTAGTGGCCCCACAGTTATCTTATGACACTGAGTTCCCCCTTGTATTTGCCCCTCGTGACTCTTGCTTGGTAACAGTACAGTTACATGTTTCCTGCAGATTTAGGCCCTGCCTTTCTCTTATAGATTGCCAGGACTGCTGAAGGCAGTGGTGGTCCCTCCACTTCCCAGGTACCAGATGCTCAGGGTAAATCTGACATCCCTACCGACCTGTTTGACTTTTATGAGCAAATGGACAAGGATGAGGAAGAAGAGGAAGAGACACAGACAGTGTCTTTTGAAGTCAAGCAGGTCAGCGAATATATCCTTCCTGGTTCTTCTCTGAGTTGGTGCCAAAGCTGTTCCAGCTCTTCATCAACTAAGTGTCATCTGTGTGAGAGGATGGAATTCTGAGTTGCGGTTCTTTTTCTGGTTGGGATTGGAGAGTTGAGACCATCATTTATCTTAATGGAGTTAACCTGAGTGTCCTATTCCCCAGATTCATAAGTCTGTAGAAAAATAGAGGAAATGGGACCTAAAGGGCATTTTTGGTGACTGACTGGTTATTACATTTTTGTCTGTGTTGTTTGGTTTTCTGTGTTTTAATCTACCTGTTAACAAGCAAGATCTAAAATTACAGACGTCTAGATTAACCGCTAACTTTTTTGACTATAAGGCCCCTTAGAATATATAGAATATATGCTATTTTTTTTAAACACAACATGGAGGTAATGAGATTCTGAAACCCTCATGTGCACTTCTCAGGAAATGATTGAGGAACTCCAGAAACGTTGCATCCATTTGGAGTACCCTCTGTTGGCAGAATATGACTTCCGGAATGATTCTGTTAACCCTGATATCAACATTGACCTGAAACCCACAGCTGTGCTTAGACCTTACCAGGAGAAGAGCTTGCGAAAGATGTTTGGGAATGGGCGTGCACGCTCTGGAGTCATTGTTCTTCCTTGTGGTAAGTGCCAACTGATGTTGATGGCCAGGCTCTTCTCGCTACTTTCCACTTGTCTTTTGCACACTTCTCTATTTACTGAGGGGCTGCCAGTCAGATGACTCCTGATGGCAATATTTGGCAAATATTTGTGTGCTTGCTGTTCACAGGACCCTGCCCCAGGTACTGGGGATCTAACAGTGAATTGAGAAAACCCCATGGGCATGTTTTGGTGGAATAGGGAGAGACAGTAAACAAAACAATAAAATTGGGCTGTGAAGAAAAATAGCAGGTTGGCAAGTTAGGCAGTGATGTCAGGGAGGGGCTGTTTTACATGCTAGGGTTAGGTTCTTGTTCTTTGCAGTCGGTCTTGTAAATTAGGTATTTTGGGGACTCCCAGCACAGAAACAGCTTGCTTCTGGAGGGCTTATTACAGAAAGTATGTCTAAGAAAGCCCCATTGATGCCTGTCTTTAAATTATGTCAGGTTTTGGTCTAGGACAGATCAAGGTCACAGCAGACTCACAGAGACCCTGCTCTAGTCTTCAGGAGGCAGAGTCTCTGGGGGAAGGGCTTGCACCCTCAGGTTCTTCTTATTTAACTCCATGGGTTATATTGAGGCACATCTCTGGTCGAGGAAGAATTGCTGCTTAAAGAATAGTTTGATTTTTTATATATATTATATATATAATTGTCTTTACATTACTTTGTGCATTTTTTCATCTAGTTGTAATCCCCATGGGCTTCCCATCACCATAGTCTAGTGCATTTCCCTCCCCCTAGTGTTTTTGATCCCATTCCCCACTCCACCCCCATAAAATGTCTCTGGTATATAGCTGCCCTTTATTCTTACTATTATTTTCTCGCCTGGTCCATTATATTCCTGCTGTGAGCGAAACCACCCGGTATTGTTCTTTTTCTTTCTGGCTTCTCTCACTAATAATGATCTTTTCCAGCTCCATCCATGCAAAAGATATGTGGTTTTTTTGGTTGCTAAGTAATAGTCCTTTGTGTATTTGTACCACATCCTTTTAATCCAGTCATCCACTTTTGGTTATTTGAGCTGTTTCCATGTCTGCAATTGTAAATAAGGCAGCAGTAAACATGGGGGTGCAGGTATCTTTTTGAATCAGTGTTTTTGTGGCTTGGGTAGATACCTAGGAGTGGGATTGCTGGGTCGTAGGGAAGCTCCATGTTTAGCAGTTTGAGGAACCTCCAAACAGTTTTCCATAGTGGTTGTACTAGTTTGCCTTCCCACCAGCATTGCAGGAGAGTTCCTTTTTCTCCACATCCTCGCCAACATTTGTTGTTGCTAGTTGTTTGAAGATGTGCCATTCTCACTGGGGTGAGGTGGTATCTCATTGTGGTTTTAATTTTCATCTCCCTTATGAAAAGTGATGTTGAACATTTTTTCATATGCTTGTTGGCCATCTGCATTTCCTCTTTGGAGAAGTGTCTTTTTAGCCCTTCTGCCCATTTTTTGATGGGGTTGTTTATTTTTGTTGAGTTTTATCAGTTCTTTGTATGTCTTTGTGATCAATCCTTTATCGCTAGTTTTATGTGAGAAAATTTTTTCTCAATCAGTGGGATGTCTTTTTGTCTTTTGTAATGTTTCTTTTGCTGTACAGAAGCTCTTTAATTTAAGGTAGTCCCATTTGTTTATCCTTGCCTTCACTATTGTTGCATTGGGTGCAACATCTTTAAAGATGTCGCTGAAGTATATGTCGTTAGTGTTTGGTCCATCTTTACTTCCAGGTATTTTATGGTTTCTGTTCTTATGTCTAGGTCTTTAATCCACTTTGAGTTGATTTTTGTGTATGGTGAGAAGTAGTGATCTAGTTTCATTTTTTTGCATGTAACTTCCCAGTTTTCCCAGCACCATTTGCTGAACAAACTTTCTTTGTTCCACTGTATCGTCTTTGCTCCTTTGTCAAAGATTAGTTGTCCATAAACCTGTGGGTTTATATCTGGATTTTCTATCTAAATCCACTGGTCTTTGTGTCTGTTCTTGTTCCGGTACCATGCAGTTCTGGTTATTATGGCTTTGTAGTATAGCTTGAAGTTGGGATTGTAATGCCTCCATTCTCTTTCTTCCTAGTCATGAGAGTTTTGGCTATTCGAGGTCTTTTGTTATTCCATATGAATCTCATCATTTTTTTTTTCTGATTGGAATGGTGTAAAACCTGTATATTACTTTTGGCAGGATGGCCATTTTGATGATGTTAATTCTCCAGATCCATGAGCAGGGGATGTCTTTCCATTTCATGGTGTCTTTTGTAATTTTTTTTAAAAGATTTATTTATTTATGCATATAGAAATAGAGAACTGGCCAGAAGCGCAGGGATGGTGAGAGGACCACCCCTCACCACTGAGACAGAACGGGGAGCAGAACAGGCCTAATGACGGGAAAGGGAGCAGTGGGCAGGCCAGGAGAGGTCTGTCACGCCATGTGGATTACCTCCAGGGCGGGCGGGGATCAAAATGATGCTGAAGTGGCTTTAGTGTCTCAATGCTGTGCTTTAACCCACTGTGCCACCAGGGAGGGCCCTTCTTGTATTTCTTGTAACAGTGTTTTGTAATTTTCTTTGTATAGGTCTTTTACCTCTTTTTGGGTTGACTCCCAGGTATTTGCTTCTTTTTGTTTTAATTGAAAAGGGGATTTTTTTTTTTTTTTTTTTTGCTTCTTCTGATTGGTTGTTTGTGTATAGGCCTCTGACTTTTGTATGTTGATTTTATATCCTGCTACCTTGCTAAACTGGTTGATGGTTTTGATTAGTTTCTCTGTGGAGTTTTTAGGGTTTTCCATGTATATTAACATATCATCTTTTACTTCTTCTTTCCCTATTTGAATGCCTTGTATGCCTTTTTCCTGTCTTACTGCTCTGGCTAGAACTTCCAATATTATGTTGAAGAGCAGTGGTGATAGTGGACACCCTTATCTTGTTCCTGATCTCAAAGGAAAGCTTTCAGCTTTTCTCCATTGAGGATAATATTGGCTGTGGGTTTGTCATATATGGCTTTTATCATGTTGAGGTATGTTCCTTCTATTCTGAGCATTTCAAGGGCCTTAAACATAAGTGGGTATTGAGCTTTGTCGAAAGCCTTCTCTGCATCTATTGATATGATTATGTGGTTTTTATTCTTCTGTCAGTTGATGTGATGGTTAATTGATTTTCTGATGTTGAACCATCCTTGTGCTCCTAGTATAAAGCCCACTTGGTCATGGTGTATTACTCTTTTGATGCATTGTTGGATTCTGTTAGCTAAGATTTTGTTGAGGATTTTTGCATCGGTGCTCATAGGGAGATTGGTCTGAAGTTTTCTTTTTTGTGTGTTTTCTTTGTTAGGTTTTGGTATTAGTATGATGTTGGCTCATAGAAAGTATGTGGTAGTTTTCCTTCTTTTTCGATTTTTTTGGATGAGTCTGTGTAGCATAGGCACTAGTTCTTTTCTGAACATTCAGTAAAATTCATTTGTAAATCCATCTGGTCCTGGACTTTTATTTTTGGGGAGGGTTTTGATTACTTCTTCTATTTCCTTGCTTGTAATTGGCCTGTTTAGTTGTTCTATTTCTTCTTTATCAAGCGTTGGGTGGTTGTAGAGTTGTCGAACTAGTTTCCATTTAGTTGTGCATAGTATTCTCCGATTATTCTTTTGATTTCTGCTGGATCTGTTGTGATTTCTCCAGTTTCGTTTATGATTCTGTTTATTTGTGCTTTCTCTTGTTTTTTCTTTGTGAGCCTGGCTAGTGGCCTATCTTGTTTATTTTTTCAAAGAACCAACTTCTGGTTTGGTTGATTTTTTTTTGGACTGTTTTCCTAACTTCCATTTCATTTATTTCTGATTAGACTTTTATTATTTCCTGTCTTCTACTGGCTTTTGGGTTATTTTGTTCTTTTTCCAGTTCTTTAAGGTGGGATGTTAGGTTGTTTCTTTGAGTTATTTTTGTTTCTTCATGTGAGCCTGTAATGCTATATATTTTCCTCTTATAACTTATTTATGTGTCCCATAAATTTTGGAGATAGTTTGATTTTTTTTTTAAGTTTTATTTATGAATACAAGAAGTTGGGTACAGGCAGAGGTACGTGGGGGAGGGGAGTGAGACGGATTCACCAGAGAAAGAGTAGGGAGCAAAACAGGCAGATCCACTGAAATACACTGCTGAGGAGAGTAGCAGGTGGGACCGGAGAGGTGTGCAGCACCATGTGGGTCACCTCCCTGGCCTGGGATTGAACTCATGCTGCAGTGGCTGCGGATAGATTTATAGTGCTGTGCTTTACCCGTTGGGCCACCAGGAAGGGCCCAGGACTAGCTGATTTTTTAATCCTGTTCTTCAAATGTTGGATGGTAATAAACAGGTACTCCTGGAATTTCATTTCTGTCTGCCAGTAGTATATACTTTCATGTATTCCCAAGTTCTCAGACCATTTTGTTGGTGTAATAACAGGTGTCTTGACTCATCCCCACTTTGTGCAGTCTTTGTGCTAGAGATCCTCTTCCCCAGTAACCGCAATTTCCTAGGAAAGTTACCTGGGGGCTTGGCTACAAGTATCTCCTACCTCTGGTTTGTCTTGAGGTTCCAGTATTATAGGAGAGGCTTGTATGCAAAGTGGGTGTGTCTCCTTTTATATATATATATAAAAGAGTCTCAGAGTAGCGAGTGCCTCAGATGTCATTTGGGAGAATTATTACAATTAATCTGCCTAGACTTATGTGCTAAAGAGTCATTCTGTCAGTCCCTGCACTTTATTTCAACCTGGCTGTGGATAACATCTTTTGGTTTCTTGTAGGTGCTGGGAAGTCCCTGGTTGGCGTGACGGCGGCATGCACAGTCCGAAAACGCTGTCTGGTGCTGGGCAACTCAGCGGTGTCTGTGGAGCAGTGGAAAGCCCAGTTCAAGATGTGGTCCACCATCGATGATAGCCAGATCTGCCGCTTCACCTCTGATGCCAAGGACAAGCCCATTGGCTGCTCCATTGCCATCAGTACCTACTCCATGCTGGGCCACACCACCAGAAGGTCTTGGGAGGCTGAGCGAGTCATGGAGTGGCTCAAAACTCAGGAATGGGGCCTCATGATTCTAGATGAAGTCCACACCATCCCAGGTAAACAGATCTGAACTGCTCACTTATCTTATAGACAGAATTGTGTGTCAGCTGTTGTGTTGAAGGAGGAATTACTGTGTGGTCTATCTACTTTGCTACAAAGGCTTTTTGGGTAGAGCTTTTAGTTATTAGCACCTGTGAAGTAAGAGTGAGTAGTAGATGGATGTCCATATTCATAGTCTCCTTAACTACTGACTTGTAGCCATTTAGGAAATGATATTTAATTCCATTCTCCAACTTTCTTATTGTTACAGCTCAAACTTAACATTTTTTGATGACCCTCTGAAAACTGAGCTAGGGATACTGAAGTCTTTGAATATAAGTCATTTCTATTTCTTGTTCTTTTTATCCTTTTTATGTGTTTAAAGTGATAGTTAAGCATTGTCATTTAATCATCCTTATTTAGAGCCAGGTTTCTGTGATCCAGAAATATGAGGCTTAGTCCAAGTCCCAAGACTGTATGTGCTACTGGAGCATTTACAATGTAACAGTATGATTATTTGCCCAGCCAAGATGTTCCGGCGTGTGCTCACCATTGTGCAGGCCCACTGCAAATTGGGTTTGACTGCAACCCTTGTCCGGGAAGATGACAAAATTGTGGATTTAAATTTTCTGATTGGGCCCAAGCTCTATGAGGCCAACTGGATGGAACTACAAAACAACGGCTACATCGCCAAAGTCCAGTGTGCTGAGGTAACTGTCCCCTTCCTGGCACAGTCTCTAAGGGTTGTAGGGGAAATGGACCACATCACTTCCTCTAGAGCATGTACATTGCTGCCCCTGCATGTAGTTCCCACAGGTCTCCCAACCTCACAGTCTTGTGAACCAGAGTTGCTTGTCCAGGGGCATCACTTAATAAGTGGCAAGTCAGGATGTTAATCCAGGCTGGCTCAACTGCAAAGTCCATTTGCCTCCTTACCCTCTTCTCTGGGAGCGAGTACCTCAGGGTGTTCCTGCCCACCCTCTTTTATGAGATTCTTGATGGGTCCTGTGTGGGTGACCATCCAAGCCATCTCCAGTGTCAGCCTGTTGGTGATTACCTGTGGGTCGTGAGAATAGTTTATTTCCAGGAACACATTTTTCCCATTTTGTTCTATAATGATTCCCTGTATATGTTAAAAATATATGTTCAAAGGTAAGTCTTCTCAGAAAGAAAAATAGGAGGTTGGCCTCTTTTGTAATTTGTTTATTTATTGATCGATTGATTTATGCATGTATTCATTTATTTATTGCCTCTTTAAAAAAAAGACATGCCTACATGAGCTGCGTGTAGGACAGAGGTGTGTGTGTGTGTGTGTGAAAGGATTCACCAGAGACAGTGGGGAGCAGAATAGGCAGATTAACTGAAATACACTGCTGAAGGGAGCAGTGGGCAAGATAGGAGAGGTCTGCTGTGCCATGTGGGTCAGCTCCCTGGCCAGGTATTAAACTCAAGCTGCAGTAGCTATAGACTGCTTCATAGTGCTAAGACTTACTCCCCCCTTGTACCACCAGGAAGGCCCCGGTGTCTGTTTTGAAAGGATGTCGAGAAACTTGTTGCTGAAAGATGAATTTGTTCAAAAGATTCCTTAGCCTTCAGTAACAGCTTTGTAATCAGTACACATCTTATGAAACAGCCTGTCAGAATTATTGAGGCTCTTTGTTCTATCTAGAACACCTTTCTTCCTACTCCTCCAATCACTGTCTTAGAACTTAGGTTTGTCATTCCTTGCTTTTTGTTATTTTGCCTTCTATGACCTTGTTTTTTAAGTTTATCCATTTTTTAAAAATCTTTACATATATGTAAATAGAATCAGGTTTTTTATGTTCCTGTATGACTTCTGTCTTTTGCACATTTTTATTCTTTGAATAATGCATTGTTTTTAATGATGCATGTAGTTGTAGTGCATTTCTTTGATTTGCTTTGCAGTGTTCCTTTGTACAAATATACTACAATTTGAATTACAATGAGATTTCTTACAACAATAAAAAACACCATTTTTAATGGTGTTTTGGGTTGCCAATTTGTTTTGTTAACAGCTTTATCAAGATAATAGTTTACATTTCATAACATTCACCTGTTGCAAGTGACTTCTCTGCTTTCAGTCAATATAAACAATTGTGCAGCTGCCCTGCAATCAAATTTTTGAACATTCCTACCACTTTTCCTTATGCTCATTTGCAGTGAATCAAATTTCTGACTTCCAGGTCTTGGTAGTCACTGATTCTGTCTATAAACTTAGAACTTTTTTTGCTTTTGCTGTGTTGATAATGTTGCCACAAATGTTTTTGTTATCTGGGGAACTTGTATCAGAGTTTTTGTAAAACTGTATTGTCTGAATTGTGACCCCATAGTTGTGTGTCATGAACAAGGTAGAAGAGTATCTGCCAGCATGCAAAATACCTATTAAAGGGCTATTTCAGAAAATCATGTTTGTGCATGTTAGTGTTTAATTTTGGTGTAAAGTGATCTAAGTTTGAAAGCCATAACCATGATGGATGCACCTAGAAGTCCCATTGCTGGGTTGAAGACTGCAGATGTTCAGTTTGCTAGCCATGTCTTGGGAAACTGTTTTCCAAAGTGGTGGTACTGATTCATACTCTCATCAAGGGTGAGTTGAGGTTACTCCACATCTCGTATACCTAATACTGAAAATTTTTTTCTTTTAGTTTTTGTAAACTGGTAAGTGTGAAGTGGTAAGCCTTTTGTCTTAGTTGGTATCTTTCTGTTTACTAATGGTGTTAAGTATCTTTTCCTATGTTTGTGGACCATGTATGCTTTAAATCTGTGAGATGCAAGATTTTAAATATTGTGAGAAGTTGCTTTTGCTATAAAGGATTAGAAACTATGGAGTCATAATAGGATGTGGTTTACAGGAACCAGAAAACACAACAACAGCAAAACCTGTGGGTTTGATCCTAGTACAGGGTTTAGTGGTACAGGGTAATTCCAGTGGTAGCAGCATGAAGAAATGGTCTGGAATGATCACGCAGAAATGGCACTCATCACAATCAAAACTCAGAGCCAATCAGGGTAGATTTTATGGCCTGTTTCCACCCTTTCTTGAACTTGTCGGCACACAGCCTTGAGACTTCTATAATCCATGGTATGTCAATATATTTACCCAATCATCCTTCAACTTTTCAACAACGCTAGGATAGTGAAAGTCCTAGGGAGTGTTACTGTCACTCTTTTCTATGCTCAGATTGTCTCAGAATTGGCCAGTGGTATCACTTCAAGCTGACTTTTGTTCATTTGGCATTTCCCCACCATTCTTTGGGTATTCTTTGGGTATACCAGTGACTCAGCAAGGCATTTCTGGGTCATTGGTACTTTTCTGGCCCTGGAATTAGTCATTTCTCCACAGAGCCCATTTAGTGGAGAATGGAATTTAAAAACCAACATCTGGGGAGCTGGGTCGTAGGTGTGTTTGTTGCAGTTAGGATGTTATTGCCTGTCATTGCATCAACAGGTAGCTGGCCAGTGTGTATGTGCATGGGAGTTCTCTGTAGCAGTGTGGACTTAAGTGTGCAGATGTGGTTAACATGGATGGGGTTGTTTGCATGACTGGTTGAGAATCTGATTTTTCTTGCTTGGAGCTTGTGTGAAAATAATTCCCTGAATGTCAGTGAATTAAAAATCTTTGCTAAGTGAGTGACATGTAAGAGTGGGTTGTAATGTTTGTCTTTACAGTTTTATTTATAGGTCATATACATTTGTTTTGATTGTTTAAAGCTAATTCTGCTAAATAGTGGTCATTAGAAGTTTCCAGTAATGTGATGTTTAAACTTGCAGAATGAACCCTGACTTTTATTGGTCACAGGTTTGGTGTCCTATGTCTCCTGAGTTCTACCGGGAGTATGTAGCAATCAAAACTAAGAAAAGAATCTTGCTGTACACCATGAACCCCAACAAATTTAGAGCTTGCCAGTTCCTGATCAAGTTTCATGAGAGAAGAAATGACAAGATTATTGTCTTTGCTGATAATGTGTTTGCCCTGAAGGAATATGCCATTCGGCTGAACAAGTAAGTAATTGACAAGTTGCAGCTGTTTTCCAGCTGATTTATCCCAAGTGAGTGCAGAGGGTGCCTCTTTGTTTCTCAAACCTTTCAGGAACTTCTTAGGATGTAAAGGTCTGATTTTGTAACCTTATTCCCTAGAACCAGGAAAGATAGGAATAGGTGTCTGGATTCAGAGGTTAGAGCATGGTGACTCCAACCCCAGGGAGGAGGGCCTGGAGTTGTGCTGTTCTGTTTGGGAGCCAAGGTGGGTATGAGAGGGTGCTTGGAATTTCAGGCCAAGTGAATGGTCTGGGTGAAGTTGGTATAAGACCAGGAAGGCAAGGCAGACTAGGCCAGCATCTCACATATGGTTCAGCATCTAGAAAGAGCTTTTCAGGAAACACCCATCTGAATCCTCACCAGTTCATAGCCCTGCCCAGATACCTGTGTTTAAGACCTGGCTATTGTAAATTCTCTGCCAAGTAAGAAAGTAGCCTGTGTTTCCTTCCAGTGAATTAGGGCTTTAGATGCTGTGAGTTAGCAGATGATAAAGGCCTTTTTGGAGGCATACTGTAACTCTTTGGGAATAGTCATGCAAAGGGAGGAATCCGTGGAATGGATAAAGAGCAGCTTTTAACTTTAGCAAGCTATGATTTAATCTTTACCTCAGCCATGTGAGGTCATTGTATGTTACAGAAAGCCTAAGTTTCTCAAATTTTTACAGTTGTGCCTTTTTTTTAGCAGTTTGAGGAACCTCCAAACAGTTTTCCATAGTGGTTGTACTAGTTTGCATTCCCACCAGCAGTGCAGGAGAGTTCCTTTTTCTCCACATCCTCGCCAACATTTGTTGTTGCTAGTTGTTTGAAGATGTGCCATTCTCACTGGGGTGAGGTGATATCTCATTGTGGTTTTAATTTGCATCTCCCTTATTACGAGTGATGTTGAACTGACAGCAAATGGGCTCTAGATAAACCTTTGCAGATCTGCTTCCTCCTTTGCTTTTTCTATTACCAGCCAGCGTTCATCTGCTGTCAGCAAAATATTTAATAATGCCTGGACATCTGCCCATGTAGGTTGCAAATATGGTGTTGAAAAGTTCAGTCATTTTCTGTGGGTCATCCCTATAGTCTGGATTAGAGCTCTTCCAATTTAAAAGGTCAGTAGTTGAAAAGGGACTATAGGTCCAGTAAAAATCAGCTGGCCTTTCTTCCTCATTTAATCCCCCTATGGGGTATTGTCGCATTGGGAATTGCCCTACTCTTGCTGCTCCCTGGCCAAATGGTGTTCCTTTCCTAGTCTTATAAGGGGAGATCGTGTCTGACCCAACACCATAGTCAGAAGGTACAAGTGGGGACCCCGGCTGTGATGGTATCCTCAGGCAAAGGAGGGTATATCAGTGGTGGAGGCTGTGGAAATTCCTGGTGTGTGTGTGGGGGGGTGGATATAGTCAAGGTAAATCTGTTAACTCCTCGATTTTTGATTCCTGAGGTTTGCTGTCTTGATAAATAGTTTTCCTTTGCACCATTAAAGTTGCCCCCCTTTCTTATTTTCTTCCATATGCGGGTGCATAAATGCCTGAATAAAGGGAATCTCATCCCATTTTCTGATCTCTGACAAAACAGTTCTAATTGCAAAATAGTATAGTAATTTAAAGATCCATTTACAGGCCATCTTTCCTCAGATTCCAACAGATACATGGACCAAACAGTATTATAATAATGTGCCATTTTCTTCCTTGACATAGGTTTGTAGCTGTAGGTCGACCATCTGGCTAATACCTTACCCAGTGGGCTTTCAGATGGAACAGAAACAGTACCTCCCATAATTTTAGATCCCTGGCTTCCAACAAATGGGGAATTCCAAATTTCAAGTGCTTCCCCGTTCCCACTTAACCGAGCCTAACACACCAAAGGCGCCCCAAATTGAGGCGCCTTCGGATTGCAGGGCACTGGGCTTTTAACCCAGGTCCCCACCTGAATGTGTGAAGGGGAGGGTCTCAGGCACGTCGGGGCAACTTACCCAAATGCCAGGGAACCGCGGTGTACCAATCCAGTTTCCGTGTCTGCAAAAGTCCACAGAGCAGAGAAGGGGGCCTCGCTTCAACTGGGGAGGCAGTGGGAGGTTCCCCGGAGTTAACAAAACTCTGGCAGCTGCTGGGACTGTCCCTTATCCTCCTCAGGAAACAGGATGTCACATGGGTTGCCCACTCTGACAGTGTGAATGGGTAAGCCCTGGCTCGCTGCCATCACCAACTGCTCCATCCGTTTGAAGTCAGAGTTGGGAGAGGGAGAGCCCAGTGGCATCCAGCTCGTGCCTGGCTCGCCAAAATTGTTACCGAGCGCTGGCGCTGGTATCAGTTTCCCTCAGCCAATAAAAGGAAACAGAGTTTGAGGAAAAGGAAAATGGTTTTATTTGTCGACAAATGAGGAGGGCAGCAGACTCATGTCTGAAAGACCACCGTCCTGCTCTTTGGCAAGTTACAGGGCTATTTATACAATGTGCAACAAAGAAAAAGGGGAGGTGGGAATATTTAGTGTGGGAATGTAGATTGGGGGGGTGGGCACCAGTCTTTACACAAAAAGAAACAAAAGTGGGAAATCAACAAGAGTATAGGGGAGGGGGCAGGGGGCAGCACAGGGAGGAAGAGGAGCTGGTATCAGCAAGCTTCCTCACCATTTGCTTTTGTTTGGGATTTCTTTCCTTGAATCTAAACCTGTCAAGGGAAGAAGAACAGCAAGGAAAACAAACAATCAGTTGAGAGCTCGGGGAAAACCAATTTCATCGTAAATTTGTCAAAGGAAGCAGATCTGCAAAGGCTTATCTGAGAGCCCATTTGCTGCATCAGAACATTTTTTCATAGGCTTGTTGGCCATCTGCATTTCCTCTTTGGAGAAGTGTCTTTTCAGCTCCTTTGCCCATTTTTTGATGGGGTTGTTTATTTTTGTTGAGTTTTATCAGTTCTCTGTATTTTTGTGATCAATCCTTTATTGCTAGTTTTGTGTGAGAAAATTTTTTCTCAATCAGTGGGATGTCTGTTTGTTTTTGGTAATGTCTGTCTTGCTGTACAGAAGCTCAGTTGTGCCTTTTTTAATTTAGAAAATATTCATTGCCATACAGATTTTGCAAAATGGCAGTTCCTTGCATCTGTATTCCCACTTAACAATTCTTGTTCTTGTTCCATAAAGGCAGGCACTTTCGATTCTTTTCTATATTTACTTTAATATATATCTAAGTAATAACTTACATAGTAATTCCTTAGTTAATAATTGGAGAAACTGCCTATTTACTTTCTACTGTGGGACTTGAGGATTAGCTCCTTGTATACACCTACGCTCCCCCCCCCCCCATCTTCCTGGTATTTCTTATTTCTGAGTTTAAGTCAATACTCAACCTCACATTATTTTGACTGTGTGTATATGTGTGTATGTGCATTCAGGTATATGTTGTTCAAGCCACTAGTGTAGTATGCTTGCTTCTTGCTTTTTCTTTGGTAAATAGTTGTTTTTGCTGGTGTTAATCATTGCTTTCTCATTACTTTTGCTTACTTTTTGGTACACTAATTACTCCTCTCCAGAATCTTATAACTGTAAACTTCCTCTCAGATGGGTTGGCCCCATTAGGTAATTTCTCAGTTCTATTTCTCTTTTTTTAACTTTACCTATTGGAATCCCTACCAATCCCTTATCTTCCTGCTCTGCCTGCATGTCTTCTAAGATGAAAGAGCTACCCAGCTGTACTCTGACACCATCCTGTATATTCCCTGTACCTCGTATATTATTTATGTTGTGCACTGGACACAAAGGTGACATGTAAGGCAGCTGGTGGTTGAGGTGACCAGAGGCCTTCAGTATGTACAACTCTCCCTGGCTTTGTTTCCTCAGAGGCAAGGGCTTTGCTTTCTTGGGAACACATGTGTTCATAGCATAGTGGAGGAAAGTGCTGTGTGGGGCTCTTGATTCTTCTCAGCATGGCCTTGGGACAGCTTGGGATTCAAGGTCAGTCTCCTCAGGTTCCTGATCCTCAGTTCCCCATGCATTAAACAGAACATGAAACTACCTTTTATCCATTGATAGGAATGGGTGGGTTTTGTTTTTTCTTTAACCCCCAATATAATATCCAGCTTGGTGTTTCATGTGGGTAGGTTCTGTGTACTTGGGAGTTGTCCTTGTTCTTATTCTTACCACTGTTACTACAATCCTTGGGAAGACATGGAAACTGCTCACCAGAACATTTGAAAAGAGTAGAGGAGTTACATGGTAACAGCTTATAACCAGTGAGGTTGTCATATAGGCTTGTGCTCTTTGGCAGACAACTGGAAGTTAGAGAGCAGTTTTAGAATGTAGTGTGATAGGAGGTCAGTGGAAAAAGACTGAAAGAGGCTCTTCTCTTCCCTGCCCCTTGTTAGAGAATGCCTTTGTCATTAATTAGGAAATAATTGTTTCTGAACTTTTGTTTGCATATTGCATTGTTTCCTTCACTCCCATGGAACTTCAAGGCATCCTTGAAGGGGGTTAAGCTTTGAGCAGGACATGTTTAGGCAGAAATGAATTAGGTTCAAAAACAAAGACAAAAGTAGAGGAGGGAGCCCAAAGGGATTAGTCGCCTGACTTCATCCTGGAAAAGAGGTGGCCGTGTGTGTTTTGAAAGGGGATGGGGAGAGTCTGTAGCCCTTTTTTTTTTCTGATTTTTAAATTTTTATTGTAATGGTTTATTTTTACATCATTTTGTGCCTTTTTCCATCTCATTTGTAATCCCTGTGGACTTACCATGAGCAGTTCACCCATCTGCCATCACCATAGTCCCGTGCACCCCTCCCTCCCATTTTTTATCCCATTCCCCACTCCACCACCATAAAATGTCTCTGGTATATAATTGTTTATTTTTTTTTCCCCCTCACTGTAGCCACTCATTTTTACAGGTCTCTTGCCTGTCACAGAGAAACCTTGCAGGTGCTCCTTTGTTCAGGATATGGAGTAGCTCTGATTTTCTTAACACACCTTTGTTCCTTCCTAGACCCTACATCTATGGTCCTACCTCTCAGGGAGAAAGGATGCAAATACTCCAGAATTTCAAGCACAACCCCAAAATCAACACCATCTTCATATCCAAGGTGTGTGTGGCATGCAGGGTGTGGTCAGAAGTCCATGAGCTGGGGACACTGATGATTCTGGACAGTGAGCTGGGTATTTATTGAAGGAACGCCTCATATTTCATTCCCACATGTCTTATGTCTGTGGGAACAGGGATGCTGCCTATTGGTTGGTAGAAAAGCATATTTAGGGTTTTAATGTATTATGGGTAATTTATAATGTCTGCTTGACTAAGATTTTTCATGGCTCTTTTGGAATTTTAAATTGTGAGTCTTTATACAGTAGAAAGAATCTGTTATCTGCTCTGGCAAAGGTTCTCTTTGTGGGGTTGGACACAGTCTGCCTTTGTCCTGCTCCTGATGTAGTGTGTGGTACTTGGTAGTATGTGGTGTGCACACAGCACAAACTCCTGTAGGCCACTCATTGATTTTGAGCTGTGGCCCAACAATTTAGAACATTGAGATTTGTACAAATCCAAAGTCCCAAAGAAGAATTACCTATGAAGTGATCATAGCAGTGTCACCAGGCACTAAACTTTGGGGTCTGTGGCTGGGGATCTTGATGGTCGGAGCCCACCAGCCAAGTCAGCTTTTTTGAAGCGGAATTTAGCACCAGGCAGTAGCTCCACCAGGCCACATGTCCTGTATATGCCATTGTTCTCAGTAGCCACCATTTAAGGGTGTAGGTGGTTTTGTGCAGGCCTATATCTGTAACAAGAATTCAGAATCTCACAGAGAGGCTCTGTTGCTAGGGCCATTGGCTGAGGGAGAGTTGCTGAACTGGGGTATAGACATGGGTCCCAGGGCATCCTTAGGACAGCTCTCAGGAGAAATCATACAGGTTTTACAGCATCCTGCATCCACAGCACCCAAAAAGAGGAGGCTAGTAATTGTTTTCCTATATTATTTATTTAAATTTGAAGCCTGCTAAGTTTTTCATTTCTCTTTTGTTGAAAGCCTCCCCATACTCACACTGCTATATTCCCATAGGTGGGTGACACTTCTTTTGATCTGCCAGAAGCAAATGTTCTCATTCAGATCTCATCTCACGGTGGCTCCCGGCGGCAGGAAGCCCAGAGGCTTGGGCGAGTGCTCCGAGCAAAGAAAGGTAATGGTGGCCATCTCCCTACTTCTCTAAGAGGTCTCTTTTCAAACAGATTGCCTCTGTTTTTATGGCAAGCTTGTCTTCTGGGTGAGGTGAACTGGAATGGGTACTAAAGCAAAGAGCAAGGTCTCCCTGCCCCTGGTTACTTCTCATGCTTTCTGGGCGAATATGTGAGTGGTTATTCTGGCAGATGTTTGGAATTCACCCAGATGTCCTTTAACTGTTGTGTTGGTATACAGGAGGAGGAGCCAGAAACAGTGCTTAATGTTGTAGAAATAGAAGGGAGGACAAACTGTCTTCTGTGTCTGACTCAGGAGGAAGAGAAGATATTGGAAGGAGTAGCTTAGGGAGCTATCAGAACAACTCAAAGAATGCTGCTCTGGGGCCTTCTCTGGTGATGCAGTGGGTTAAAGTGTAGCACTGTGAAGTTAGCTGCAGCTGCTTCCACATAGCATTCAATCCCTGGCCAGGGAGATGACCCACACAGCGAGGTAGACCTCTCTTGTCTTCCTGTCTTGTCCTGTCTTGCCTGTTGCTCTCCACTCTGTCTCTGGTGAATTCTCTCACCACCCCTGCCTGTACCCCAGTTCTGGATGCAAAAATAAATCTTTAAAAAAAAAAAAGTGCTGCTCTGGATAGTAGCCTGCAGCAGTACGAGTTCAGTGATCAAGAACACCAGAGGCAAGGCATCTGCTTTTCAGCTACTGTAAAAGGGGCCTGTCATAGGAACTGGCATTGCTGTTGAGATGGCCATGGCGCTCTTGGACCACACAGGTCCTATATTAGGGACACGGGCCCTGAGCCTCAAGGAGTTTGCTTACCTCAGGCAGTACATGGATTGCCAGGGTGTTTGAAAAGGACAAGGTTAGTAGACATCTATTGGAATTATGCTCTATTTGAATATGCTTAAGAGGCAGCTAATTGATTGTGTTTAAAGTAGAGACCAGGCATTTTGGTAGAAATAGCATGGACTTGGGCACCAGTCCATGCTGAACATTTTACTTTGCTGTCCAAAGTAGGAGCAGCAGTCCTATCTTGCAGGAATAAGACACAACAGGATATAGTAGGCTGTTGGAGAAATTGTAGCTTTCTAAACTGACATGAAAATAATCTGATAAGCTCATGAGAATTGCATATTCTTAACTCTTCACCATAAAAAAGAAAACGTAAATTGAAAGCTCCTTTGAATTTAATTAATATTTTGTCTTTTTTATAAGACATTTTAATACTTTCTTTACATTGCTGAGCATCTATAAGACTAAGGAACGGTTGGGTTCAGAGGCAGTTCATAGATAGTTAACCTACTAACATTTGAGCTGTGAAGCAAAACTATTTAGATTTTCCAGAAGAATCAGGTTTTATGGGCATATTTCCTACCCTAGTTTTTGTGAAAACCCTTTTTAGAATTCTCTTACTCCAAATTTTCTCTGAGCTGTTTTTTTTTAAGCCGCTTTATCGAGATATAATTCACATACTATATATAATGGATCCATTTAAAGTATGTAATTCAGTGTATATTATTGAATAACTATTAGTATTTTCACCAATTTTCATAATCATCACCACATCTATTTAAAATATTCTCATCACTCCAAGAAAGAAATCCTTACTCATTGACGTAACTCAATTTTCTGTCGCCTTCCAATTTGCCAATTCAGGTAGACATAAATCTACTTTTGTTGTTACAAGCATAACTGTTCTAGACATTTCATATGTATCAAATTACATAATTTAGGCATCCTATGAGTGTCGTTTTTCAATTGGTGTACGTGTTTTCAAAAGGATTATCCAAAAGATTGTTGTCCTTTTGTATGACTGAATAATATTCTACTTTATGGACATAACACTCCATTCATTTGTTGATGGACATTGACTTGTTTTCATTTTAGAGCTCTTAGAATAAAGCTGCTATGAAAATTTTGCATACTTTCAGTTCTCTTGGGTATATATCTAGGAGTGGAATTATTAGCCAATGTGGTAGCTTTCCATTTTTCATTTAAAGAATCTGCCAGGCTGTTTTTAAAGCTGTTACACCATTTCACATTCTCACAAGCAATGCATTATGAGACTTCCAATTTTTCCACATTCTTGGCAGTTGTAGCTATCTGTTTCTCTTTATTGTAGCCATCCTAGGGGTTGCCAAGCAGCATCTTGTGGTTTTGGTTTATAGTTCCCTGATTATTGGTGTTGAACTCTTTGTCCTTATTGGTGATTTTATATTTTCTTTGGAGAAACTCTACTCAGATCCTTTGGCCTTTTTATATTTGTGTTACTTGTCTTCACTAGTTGAAATAAATAGGTATATTAAGCTGCAGGGCCAGAGTTTAAACCCCAATTTTCTGGATGCTAGTGCTACAGTGACTACCAAGTTCCCTGGGACAATGATAGTTTTTTAAATAAATACCAATCAATCCCTTATCACAAGTATGCTTTATATTTTTCTCCAATCTGTCGTCTTTTCATTTTCTCGATGGCATTATATGAAACATAGTAGTAGTTAATTTTGACGTTGTCCCCATACAAAATTAGGATAAACACTCCCTGACCACAAAATTCTCCGCCTGCATGGGCAACTTGTCTTTTGCCCTTAATTTCTATCTTAACAACAGCTAATGTCCTGTTTCTTGCCTCTCCTCCAGGGATGGTCGCAGAGGAATACAATGCCTTCTTCTACTCATTGGTGTCCCAGGATACCCAGGAGATGGCTTACTCAACTAAGCGTCAGAGATTCTTGGTAGATCAGGGGTATAGCTTTAAGGTATGTATTCATTTTGGTCTCTTGTCAGAGTGAGACCAAGGCTTAGTTTGTACCCAGGCCTCCAGAAATGGGGGCCACTATCAGCACCACTATGTGACAGAGCTCAGGTAGGCACTGGAGACTTTGCATAAACTGATGTATGATGGTGCTGGTAGTGGGGAGGTTTGAGGGACAATATCATGCAGGATCCTGCTTGCCCCCAACTTCCAGAGTAAATAGAGAATGGGACCTTAGAAGCACAATGCATGCTTAATAACTTTTTACGTTGTGAAAAGATGGTTAGATATTGGTGGAAAACATGCCCTCCTTAAGCAAAATAATTTAGGAGAAATGCAGACACCACATGATTTCCCTCATATGTGAAACAAAGAAACAAAATGAGAAACAGGCCAAGTTGAACCAAAAACAAATCCTTGGATTCTGATTGTATAATTGATTCTTGGATTCTGACCTCATAACTGAGGTTTCCAGAGGGGACCTGGGAGGTGAAAGCAAAAGGGGGAGGGAGTTAAATGGATTGCAGTGGGGGTTATTGGTAATTTGGTGGTGGGTGAAGTTTGATAACACACATATGAGGAGGTATGAACTTAATGGGTAAAATATACATGTAAATCTACATTATCTCAATTTAAATTTAAAAAAAAAGGTGCTTGCCATGGAGGGTTTGAGATGCTAAAGAGCTATGGCCGTCATTGTGTTACACTGAACCCCTTGGTACTTTCTCAGGGGTTGCCATTCCAGGTGCCCAAGGAGTCAGCTGGTGTTAGTTGAAAGACACCAGTTCCTCCATATCCAAATCAGGTATTTGTGTACTTTGAGATACTCTAAAGCTTTTGACTGACTTTCATTTTCCTAGGCATTTGATTTCTTTCCTGTTGACTCACATAGTAAATTTGTGTTAGGATTTACTGTCCCAAAAGGGTTTCTGATTTTGGGACTGGGTGGAGGGTTCCAGAAGCAGGGAACTGAAACTAGAACATGCAGGTCCTGAGTTTCCTGATTTACAAAAGAAGTATGTTGCTGTAACAGATACTGAGCAATAGATACTGAGTTTTTCTTTTGAGGAGTTGTTAGTGTTGTGTTAGAGTTGTTGTGTTAGAGTTTTCTGATCTGTCCTCTTTTATCCTGAAGCAGTAACTTTTCAGACTTGTAGTGGTAATACAGACATTTGGAAGATTTGCATTGTGATCTTTTTATCAAAGAGATCCTGACTTCTGACTTCCTGACTCCTCGGTGTGCAAAAGTCAGGAATATCTCTGAATTCTCTGAAATGTGTCCTTGACCAAAAGGGAATCCAAGTGTGTACTTATCTTTGCCTTCCATGCCACTTGGGATGATTGCTGAAAGTGGTGGGGTTGGAGTTCCCAGAATCATAATCCTGGCATTCCAGGAAGGTGATCAAGCCAACACAGAGGTTTCCCATATCTATCTTTCTGATTGTGGCCACCTGAAGAACTCTTCCTAGTTCCTTACTGCTAGGAGCTTTCTTTTAATTAAAATTATGTGGGGTGCCTGACAAGAGGGTGAAAGAATGAAGGTGTTGGGCTTGCCTTCTTCAGACGGGGACAATAAAACTGAGGTACAGCAAACCCAGGAGACCTCTGAGAGAAAAACTGACTACCGTCATACATAATAAGCACATCAGCCCAACTGAAAGGAAAAACCTCAAGTGAGCACTGACTAGAGTGATAACGGGCGGTACAATCCCCAGAGACAGAAGTAGCTCCTGCACAGCATGCCCTACAATTATTGATTCAGATACTTGCCAACATGAGGGCTTCTAAGACCTGACAGTGTTAAATAAGGGGGTGTGTGAGTAGTTACTCAGGATCGAGAGTGTATTGCAGGAGAGCTACAGAGATGAAGGAAGAGAGTGAAGACTACTGATTTGAGTCAGAAGCTCATAATAAGAAATGTAGCCTGACTCAGATCAGAGTACCTCTAGAAGAGGCTAATGAAGCCCAGGAGAGGTATCCAGAACAACTGCTGCCGCCACAAAGGAATGCTTCTCCCCTTCTGGAGGTGACCCTTTGTCCCTCAACTCCTTTTATGTACTTACTGTCCCTCACTGGTAGCTGATTATTCCAGCAGTTGAAAAATAACAGTGGGAATTTTTTATCTACTAAACCCCACACAAAATCAAAAGTGAGGAGGCAGAAGAGAACTCACTACAAATGCCAGAACAAAATATCCCTGAAAAGAGCCTTGACTCTGGAGTTGCAGAGCATGACAGAAAGGGAATTGAGGGTAACACTCCTGGCAATGCTGATGGAAACTTCAAAACAAAAACAACAAAAGAATATAGATAATAAAAATATGAGGCAACTACACTCAGAAGTAATGGAATTAAGAAACCTAATAGCTGATTTTAAAAATACAATTGAGGGCTTCAGTAGCAAACAAAAGCAATAGAAAGAATTGATGATCTTGAAGACAGCCTTGGAGGACACAAGAAGAATTAGGTAGAGTGAAAAAATGAAACAGAGTAAGAGCTTTTTGGGACAACTTAAAAAATCTGTAATGGGGGTCCCAGGAGGAGAAGTAAAAGACATAGAAAACCTATTAACAGAAGATGTGATACACACACACCATGAAATATTACATTGCCACAAGAAAGCATGAAATGCAGCAGTTTTTTTTTTAAAGATATATTTATACATACAAGAACTGGGGTATAGGCCAGAGGCACTGGGGGTGAGAGAACTCACCAGAGACAGGGTAGGGAGCAGAACAGGCAGATTTGACTGAAATACACTGCTGAGGGGAGCACTGGCAGTGACCCACATGGATCTGTCATGCCATCTGGGTCACCTTCCTGGTTGGGCATTGAACTCATGCTGCAGTGGCAATGGTTGCAGAGAGCTTCATGTACTGTGCTTTAACCCACTGAGCTACCAGGGAGGGCCTGAAATGCAGCACTTTTCAACAAAATGGAGGTAATTTGAAAGAACTGCAGCATAGTAAATCAGAAGGATAAAAATAAATTACTAGACATTCACAAAACAAAGTTTTAACAGTGTAAAATTCTTTTAAAAAAGTAATAGATACCATAAATATTCTGAAGTTGAGGGGGGGAGGGAGAGGGACAAGGGGACACATGGGATTGGAGAGGAAGTAAAATCTTGAGAAAAATTAGAAGGAAAAAAGTTCATCTTACACATTTAGTCAAGCTTTCTGTAGGAATAGGTAAGCCTTTTCTAAATTATCTCCAAAGAAGTCTAGCTATGTTTTTTGTTTTAGAGTAAACCTTGTAAACCCATTTGTCTTCTGTGATTATTTGACTGCTGTGTTGGGAGCTGATTTCTATTTGCTTTGCTTTGCAGTCACTATTTAACTTCCTGTTAGAGGAAGTTCTTGGTGTTGGTCTATGGAATGCCCAGTCAGAGCTCTCCCTTGCTAGCCATCTGTTAAGCTTGGAATGTAGGAAGGAAGTGATTCCAGCATGCCAACACAGGAGAAGGCAGAGCCAAAGAGAGGGAAAAAAAGTGGACACAGCCTGTTTTGGTTTTGCAGGTGATCACAAAGCTTGCTGGCATGGAGGAGGAGGAATTGGCATTTTCAACAAAAGAAGAACAGCAGCAGCTCTTACAAAAAGTCTTGGCAGCTACAGACCTGGATGCTGAGGAAGAGGTGGTAGCAGGAGAATTTAGCTCCAGATCTAGCCAGGTGAGTGAGTCTATACTTCTAAGGAACAGAATTCTTACACACACACACATACACAGGCATGTGTTTGTGCAATGTTGAAGAGTGCACAATAGAGGAAAACATGACACCGGGCTGTCTCCAGGGTACCTTTGGGAGCTACCCTGGGACTTGGGTGGCCCATCTTGGCCTTAGGCAAGTTGGTTCATTGAACTCTCATTTTATCCTTAGCGGTAGACTTGAATTTTCCAACCTGTAATGGAGCTCTGAGGCTCAACTTAGATTGCAGATTCAGTACTTTTGGGGGAAAATGTAAGTGTTCTCTGAAAATATTCCACTTTTTATTCTGCAGATAAATGTACCATGTAATAAATTATTACATGTACCATGTAATAATTAAAGACAGTTATAGGCAGTATTTGTCATCCAGGGGTCCATCCAGAGAGACTTGTACAGTTTAGTCAACTAAATCAATAGGAGAGGCAAAAAGAGGATAATTACTGTAATGGGGAGAAGGAAGGAGTATCACCTGGATAGGCCTGTTTCTCTAGCCTGAGACTTTTCTTCCCCAAAATGTGTGGTGGGCAGCTGGATCTCCTTCTGGAAAGTCTGCAAAGAAACCCCAGGGAACCTTTCTGCCTCTGACTGCACCCCAAGGGACTTCTTGTCAATCCCTCTGCTGGGACCAAGCTATTAAAATCCTTTCCCAGCACCTACTCCATCCTTCTTCATGACCAGGGTGCTGTAATGCCTGTCTTTCAGTCAGAACCTGATGTATGTGTTATATGTCACCTAGGTTAGGGGGTAACCCCTTTACAGACAAATTCATTAAGGAACAGACAGTATTTACCAAGGTCACCCAGTGAGAGGAAGGGTCAAGATCCACATCCGGGACTTTCTGCTTTCCAGTTGATTCAAAGCCTTATGATGGAGTTGAGGGAGATTTGAGAGACTTAAAAATGCTGTTCAGAACTGGTTGCAAGGCAGGGTAACACTATACTTAAAAATAGGGAATCTGAAGCCCTACTGTCAGTTCTTTAAGAGGTATGTGCTTGTATTAGTTAATTCTAAGCCTCAGTATCCTCCTCTTTAAGATGAGGTGATAATTGTGAGGATTAGAAAAGTGAATATATGTAAATATGTGTAGACTGCTTAACATGTAAATGGTCATTAAATGTTTTTAAAATGTAATTTATTAAACTTGCAACTGTTATCAAACTTATGATTATGAATATTATAAAAAGAGTGTCTTTCCTCTTGCAAACTAACAGTGGGTTGGGTCACCCCACAGGTGTCTCGGCGTTTTGGCACCATGAGCTCCATGTCTGGGGCTGATGACACTGTATACGTGGAATACCACTCATCACGGAACAAGGCTTCCACTAAACATGTGCACCCGCTTTTCAAGCGCTTCAGGAAATGACATCCATGGGGTCAGGCAAATGAGGGCATGGTGCTGGGCACCAACTTGGGAAAGGGATTTTCACTTTTCACATCCAAGTTCTTCCTTTGAGCACCAAGCCAGATTGCTGTAGATTTAGCAACTGATGTCTCTATTGAGGAAAGTGCATCCAGAATTTGATTCTTCTTCATGGGTCATGTAAAAGTTGAGAGACTATATTTTTTGGTTTTTTCAAACTTGCTGAAGAGGAGGTTATTACTGGTATTTGTATTTATCTTAATGTTCTCATGAATAAATAGAAATAGAACACTAAACTATTCTGCATTTTAGGTCTTGTCATTGGCATGGGCTTAGATGAAATTTCATTAAGTCCCAACTTTGTAGTAGGCACAAAACTATAAGATGGGGCCACACATTTAGGTTAGAGAAGACTTGCCCAATGGTAATCTAGTGTTGTAATGGCTGGAAGCTTAGGGAGTGTGGCCCAGCTCTGGGGAAGAGCCTGTGCAGTTTGTAGAGCTTGTTCACTGTTTAGTGCAGGTGAACTCCATTTTAGCACTGAACTCCATTGTAGCACTTACAGCATGGAATCGTTTGGGACAGCTATAGGCTGTCATCTCTGTCGGACCAAGGTAGACACAGCTGCTGATAGTTCATCTGCTCTGAGAGAATATGGTCCCTTATATATCTTTGAAAATACATTTTAGATATTGCTGGTAGACCAGATACCCTTTCTAAGAGCAGCATAGAAGTTTTGGGTTGTTTTGTAACTAGTTTTTTATTCTGAAAATGCCCTTGGGCTTCTTTATCTTTGTTGCTGGTATGAAAGGAAAAGTATTAAGTACGAGACAGACAAGGTAGTATTTCTCCATGTAAGAAAGGCACACACAGGAAGAGGGCATGAATAAGAGCTTGCTCTCTGGGGAGAAGGCCTTATTCCAAAAAGCCTCAGTGTTCACACTTGGAGAGCGTTAAAAGCCTGTGTTCACCCAGGTTTCTAAATTTGGACTCCCCACCCCTACAACCTCAACAGCTCAGCATTAGCATTCCACATTATAGTATCATTGCACCTATTGTGTGACTAACCCCTGTGACAGCCACAAATCAGTCCTGGGGAGAAGACTGTCCCTTTTGTTAGGGGTGCTTGGAAGCAAGACCTACCTTCCCTAACCCTTGGAGGACATACCTTCTGACCAGTGATTGCTACAGATAGAGCCCACATCTGAGGCCTGTGCTTAGACATGCATGCCCTAAAATCTGCAGACCTTCTTTTTCTCATTTTTATTTTTTTATTATATAATGTAATACCTTATTTTTACATCATTTTGTACATTTTTTTTTTCATCTCAATTGTAATCCCTGTGGGTTTCCCATCACCGAGTCACTCATGTGCCATCACCATAGTCCCGTGCACTTCCCTCCCTCCCCCCCTCAACCCCTCTCCCAACCCAGTATATGGCTGTTCATTATTATTATTATTATTATTATGTTCTCCCCTGGTCCATTATACTCCCTGCAGACCTTCTTGACACTCATTGTATGGACTGGCACCCAAGCGTCCCAAAACTGGTTATGGCTCATTTTATTATTTCCAGATACACATCTCATGTACTTTTATACTTGAGATTCTTAAATTATACCAAACATTACTCATGTTTTCCATTTCTGTCTCTTGCTCACTGTTTTCTCATTCCCAACCTGTCAGTTGACAGTTGAAGCAGTGTTGAATTTTACCCAACCCTTGTGATGCTGGGAAACTTGGACTGTTCAAGAAATTTCCTACCTCCTTTGTTCAGGAAAAAAGTTTCCACCCTTAGAAAAAGGAACTCTCCTGCACTGCTGGTGGGAATGCAAACTAGTACAACCACTATGGAAAACTGTTTGGAGGTTCCTCAAACTACTTAACATGGAGCTTCCCTACGACCCAGCAATCCCACTCCTAAGTATCTACCCAAAAGACACAAAAACACTGATTGAAAAAGATATTTGTACCCCCAAGTTTATTGCTGCTTTATTTACAATTGGAAAAACATGGAAGCAGCCCAAATGCCCAAAAGTAGATGACTGGATTAGAAAGATGTGGTTCATATACACAATGGAATATTACTCAGCAACCAAAAAAGAGAAACACATGTCTTTTGCAGCAACTTGGATGGAGCTGGAAAAGATCATGCTTAGTGAGATAAGCCAGAAAGAGAAAGAAAAATACCGGATGGTTTCACTCATAGCAGGAGTATAATGGACCAGGCGAGAAAATAACAAAAATAATGAACAACCATATACCAGAGACATTCTGTGGGGGTGGAGTGGGGAATGGGATCAAAAATGGGGGGGGGAAGGGAGGGAAATGCATGAGACTATGGTGATGGCACACGGGTGACTTGTGATGGGAAACCTGCGGGGATTACAATTGAGATGGAAAGAAAAATGTACAAAATGATGTAAAAATAAACTGTTGTAAAATAAAAGAAAAAGTTTCCACCCTTTTACTCATGGCTGAGAGAAAACTCAAAGCCCCTTGTTTACTTCTGATAAGGCTAAGCTTAAACATTTAAAATTCCTATTTTTGCCTGAAATGGTTAGCGGGATTGTTAACCAACCCAGACTTTGATCCATTCTTTCATAATTCTTCCTAAGAACAAGCTGGATTCAGGGTAGAATGTTGTTTGTATCACAGTAGATGTCCGTCCTCCCTCCCTATCTTTGTCCACTTTGTAATAATTCTTTCAAATAGTCTATTTACCATGTCTGCATTTGTTTTTTTTTTTTTATTTGAAAACATGTATCAAACTCCTATTTATTCTCTAGAAGTAAATTGAGATTTCTGCTCCCAGCTCTAACCTCCTCTAAAATATGTCCTGGTTGTTGCACTTAACTGTTTTTTGTTTGTTTATTATGTTTGGATCCTAATAGTCTATACCTGTACTTCAACACCTGGCATATAGTAGATGTCCAGTGACTATTGAATAAGACTTTTTAAAAAGTTTATGAGCATAAAAGGAGCACAGTTGCACTGCCTGCTTATATTGCAAGGGAAGCTTTGAGCAAACTCTGCTCTCATAGCCATCTACCATATTGTCCCTTTTTGTCCTTTTCTCTGAACCTGCCCTTACACATTGTGAAAGAGAATTTACTTATACTCTATGAAAGAGAGTAACTACAGAGAATTACTTAGGGGTCCTGAGTCTTCCACTGAATATTGGTCAGTACATGAATTTACTGATTCATGTACCCACTGATCATAGTTCACATTCACTAGGCATATGATGGTATATTCAGCAGTGTTTTTCCTACATGGTGTGGAAAGTTAGACCTAAACTATTATTACATTGGTACTAACAAAATTTAAAAGTAAGACCCAAAGGGATCAAACTATATCAAATACTATATCAGTGTTAATTATTGCAAAGCAGAAATATCCAGTATCAAATAGGTAAAATTCAAGTTTTCTTATATCCAGTCAAATTACCAGACCAGCTAACAGCCAGAAATATGACCCTTAATGAAAAAAAATACCACAGTCAGAAATGACCCAGAAACAGAATGAATATATATAGAGGGCATTAAAAGTTGCCAGTGTTGCATATATTCACTTTTTCAAGGAAAGTTAACATGATATGTTGATGCAATATATAATATAAGAGCAAACTTCTAGGTATAAAACTTCAGGGATGAAAACTACAATGTCTCAAGTGAAAAATACACTTTATGTTTATCTTTGGCAGTTTCTGAAATGGTTTCCAAATATCCCAACTTCTGGCATGAATGCCTTTTGGTATTCACTTGTGTTGAATGTGTACAGTACTAACTTGCTGCTGATAATGTCCATCAAAAGTGATGGATCACTTAAGAGATCAAGTTACAAAAGACGTTTACTTACCATCTTCCACACATACTCTTGACACTTCTTGTTTGCTTGCTCAGGTTTGCTGTTTGGTAGAGAAACTGAGTGGTCTCAGCCCTATAGCTTATGACATGCCGAGCTCTGCTGACAGCCACACAAGTGAGGCCAGGGGCAGTTCCTCCCTCAGTTGATTCTTGAGATGATCACAGCCCTCACCTCCCTCCTGGTTGCAGCCGTTGACAGACCCTGACCAGGTGTCCCAGCTAAGGTCTGGATTCCTGAAGTCCTGATGCACAGTAGCTGAGATATAAGTGTCAATTTTAAGTCACCAAATTTTATGTTAATTTGGTACTCACTGATTGTCAACACAGGTTCTGGTATCAGGAAGGGAATGCTGCTGTAATACCAAAAATGTGGACATGATTTTGAAACTAGGGAATGGGCAGAGGCTGGAAGGATTTTGAGAAACATGTTGTAGAATATCTTAAATTGTCTTTAATAGGCTGTAAGTAGAACTCTGACTTTGTGACATTGCCATTAAGTGCTTAAAAGGAAGTGAATATGTTATTGGAAACTGGTGGAAGGGGAAGTTCATTTACACATCATTAAAAGATTTAGGGCACCAAAAGTAGATGATTGGATTAAAAAGATGTGGTACATATGGAATGTGGTACATAGGGAATGTGGTACAATGGAATATTAATCAGCAAACAAAAAAATGAAACACATGTCTTTTGCAGCAACTTAGATGGAGCTGGAAAAGATCATGCTTAGTGAGATAAGCCAGAAAGAAAAAGAATAATATTGGATGGTTTTGCTCATACATAGCAGGAGTATAATGGACCAGGCGAGAAAATAATAAGAATAATGAACAGTCATATAAAAGAGACATTATTTTGTGGGGGTGGAGTGGGGAATGGGATCAAATGGGGTGGGTGAGGGAAGTGCACAGGACTATGGTGATGGCACATGAGTGACTTGGTGATGGGAAACCCATGGGGATTACAGTTGAGATGGAAAAAAAATGTACAAAATGATGTAAAAATAAACTATAAAAAAAAGGTTTAGGGGTACCAGTGTCCCACAGACTTGCTGGAGCCCTGAACCAGCACAAAGGGCAACGCAAAGCAAGCCTCAGCTGAAGCTGCACCCACAGCAGTGTGGCCCTGAAAACAGAGAGTGGGAAAACAGAAAAACCCCAAATATTTCCTTGGGGGACTTTCTATAAAAGGGAAGAAATCTCCAAAACCCAATCACAAAGGCATGGCAATCACCTGTCTTCCCATCAGATACATAGTTAAAAATTGCCATAGTACAGGGACTTTCAGAAGATGGCGGCAGGGTAAAAGATGCCCAGATCACTGTCCAGGCCTGCATAGGAATTGAGGACTGAAAACGGATTATAGACTCACTTATTACAAGTTTCAACCCAATCGAAAACACCCTGGACTCACTAGAAGGTAGATAACTGAGGGGGAATCTGTGATTGGGGAGTTCCCTTCATTGGGGAGTTCCCAGAAGGGAACTCCCAGGAAAACCCAGGCCCCTGGAAGTTCCTCGGGCTGCTGGAGCTGCTTTGCCTCACACTAAACCCTGGAGGTAAAGCTGGACGGCTCAGCTCAGTGAGTGGAGCCCAGGCTGCAGAAAGACTGCAAATCTGATCCTCAGTACCTGGGTGAGAGAAAAACCGCTGAAACTGCAGACCCGATCCAGAGCACCTGGGCGCTGCGCAAAGCCGCTGACCAGCTCGACCAGCTCGGGAACCGGCAAGATAGTGGCAGAATAAAGACGCCGAGGCAACTACATCCAAACTCACACGGGATTATACAAAAACGGACTATAGACTTTCATGCTACGAGTTTCAATCCAAATGAGAACGCCCTGGACTCACTAGAAGGAAAATAACCAAGGGAAAACCGGCGATTGGGGAGTTCCCATAAGGGAAGCCGCACAGGCAGGAACTGATCCGGGAACACCAGCAGCTTCCAACTCCTTCGCTCATTTAAAAATCTAGCCAGGAAGCTAGCTGCGGAGGGAAACTGAGGCAGCAGCTGGGGCTGCTCAGCAGCCTTTTGTCCCATCCTGCTACAACCCTGGAGATAAACTGAGGCAATTCAGCTAGGGAGGGGAAACCAAATCGTGGGAAAAGGCTGCGGCTCAGAACCAGAGACCGGAGGGTACACTGCAGACGTGTTGCTGACCTTTGCCCCAGCGGCCCCGACAAAGCCCTGGATATAAATTGAGACAACACAGCTAGGTGAGTGGATCCCAAGCTGCTTTGGGGGGGGAGGGGGCGGGGGCGGGTCGCAACCACAGGCCCAACCCTAGGATAATGCAGCAATTTTAACAATCATGCATGGGCACATTTAACATAGACAGGCCCTAGGAAGTGCCTCAAAAGGGGAGACTTGCTCAGGGGTCTACCTGCTTATCACA